ATATATATATACACTAAATATATCAACGTTCCTAGGACAATGCTAAGGGTTGGGGTGTGAAATCCACTCTACACGACTCACCGTACCACATTTGAATAAGCAATACAGAAATTATAATGCTGAAGGGGTGATACGAGGGTATAGAGTCGGTGAACAGCCCAGGAGAGGAGGAGAGATACCACAACTGTTAAGCACACATTTGGTCAAAAGATTGACTTCACTTGTCTCTTTGGCGAGTTATAGTTTAGTGCTAAGAACGGCAAAGCTCACTGGCGATGCCTACGAAACGTCCAAGAATGGACCATGCCCACGTTCCAACCCTGGAAATGTTCATGCACACTATGGACTCACGACAATCTGCGTTCCTCCAAGTCTTCCTGCCAATATGACCAAGTTGCGAAAACAAGGTCAAACCACTACTAAGCAACCAAAAGAGACTGCGATCATACAAAAATACACACCATCTTGTTCTTCCTACCCTCGATTAAAATAAGTGTATATTTTCTTCGCAATTCATTTGATGATCGAATCAATGATAACATCTGAAATGTATTAATGAATACAGTTGCTTTCGTCCATGCTTTCTCACGTCCAAAAGGGATCCTCTTCGTTATTCCTCCAAGTCTGCCAACCAATAGAGACGGCTTTAGTCGTCGTGATGGTGCATTTCTCGCTGGCTTTTTGGATGCACGTGGCTACCTTGTGGTGCTCTGCCGCCTGAACAAATTCCGCCTGGCCCAGCGTTATTCCGCGGCCCTACCAACTGCAGCCAACCCCACGGGAGTTGTGCGTCTCATCTCGGCAGAGCCAGTACCTGCCGAAAAGTGGCTGACAATGCGTCTCGTGAAATGGCGGCGCGCAATAACCTTAGAAGTGAATAATCAAGCACGTCGACGAGCCAGATTGGTATGCACAATTAATCAAACATTTTATTTTGTGAATAATGTAAAACATTTTTCATCTTGACTAGGTTTCAGTAATTACCATAAAATCATCTACATGAGAGATGTTCACCTTATATCGTTTAAAATGATAAAATACTGGTAGTTGAGTTTTCACAAAATGATATGAATACACTTTACGTTTCTAGTGAATTTCGCATAGCCTTGCTTCACATGATCAAGATTGCCTCGAGTGCCCTTGGATCAAGGGGCAGATG